CCAAGGACACATCTACGTTATAGTGGTCAGGCTGTGGGGGAAAGGGAACTCTTTTGCATTGTTGGTGGAGATGCCTAAAAAAACCCCTAAAAACTGAAATTCTATCTCACCCAGTATTATCTCTCCTTGGTGTACGGCCAAAAGAATCATCATACAGTGATATATATATATAGCTCCATGCTTGTGGCAGCAGTGCAATTCACAATAGCTAGGCTCTGGAAACAGCCCGTCAGTGAACAAATGGGCGAGAAAAATGTGGCAGATATAACAATGGCATTATTCAGCCATAAAGAAGGAGGAAGTCGTGGCACTTGCAGGAAAATGGATGAGTCTTGAGACCATTATGTTAAGTGAAATAAGTCAGACCCAAAAGTTATATATCACATAGTTTCCTTATATGAGAAATCCAAAACATAAAGTAATGGCAGTCTTTAGAGATGGGAATGGAAGTCAGGAGAAGGGGGAGGAAGAGGGAGAGATGGGGTGGAAGGATATATATATTCCCCAAAACAAATGTAGACATCATGTATTGCTAATATATACTAATAAAATATGCAACTAAAAAATAAACTGGAGGACAAGTGTAACAGTACTATAACTCTAAAAATGGGATTACATCAATTAAGCATCTACAGTATGCATTCTACTTCACAACTTACAATTTTTAAAAATGCCACGTTAAAAATGAATTCATCGTGCCACCCCCACTCCCACCACTACCCCCCTGGCTTGTCAATCAGACCTAGAAATCGTTCCCCAGTCCTCTGAGGTTAGGAGTACACTGCTGCACTCCCTGAGGGTCTGTGTTAAGCTTCTGGACAGGGAGGGAGGTGGAGAGCTCACAGACAGAAAGGAATGGAAGTCACACACATTCCAGTTGTCTCGCTGCACGTTTGAGTTGGTGGACAGAATCACATCGGATACCAGACATACTTTTCCCTGTTTGAATACTTTTCCACTGGGCTCGGTTTCTTATCTAATCCTTTTTGTTCAGTGTTTCAAAATTTAACTCAGTGGATTCAGATTATCGTGTGGAAACTCTGAACTTGATTTCATACGTTTCATAGTTTATAAAATTGACTGCCCTCTAGCTTAGAATTTAGTTAAAATCTTCTACCTATTCTAAAACGGCAGGAGCAAAAATTACCGCTTCCTAGTGTTTGTTTTTCTTAAATTTTAAGCATTTTGATATTCTTTTGGCAAATTATGAAAGTGTTTTTTTTTAAACTTGAGATCCTGTAACTGAAACTTCCCCTCAAGCCAAAAGTAAAATATTTATATGTGTATCTATTTTCTTAACTTTAATAGCAGTTTAAAATTTTATACTCCACACGTTATCAAACTGAAACCACCTGCCTAATCAGGAAGTTCGAACTAGTGTGCAGTGAGCGCCATCTGGTGTCAGGATTGCTATGAACTCTGTTGCCCTAGGCTGGATCTTCCCTGGTCCCTGTCTCTCTGTCTCTGACTGTCTCTGTCTCTGCCTCTCCTCTTTCTCGTGCATATGTGTGTGTGCTGTACTAGTTATACAAAGCAGCAGGTTTCATTTTGACATGTATATAACATATTCGCATATAATGTACTTTGATCATTTTCAACTCCTTTGATTACCTTTCTTCTTTCTTCTGCCCCATCCCCTTCTTCTTTTTAATGGTTGTCTTTTTAGTTTCATGATTTCTTTTTAATATAAATTTTTCTAGATTCTACGTATGAAAGAAAATATGATATTTGACTTTCTGAGTCTTGTCTGTTTCACTTTACATGCCTGTCTTCACTCCATCCAGTTTCCTGCACATGACATGATTTTATCCTTTTTTATGGCTGAATCATATTTGGCTCTATTATAGCTATGTCTTTATCCACTCATCAATTGATGGTCATTGATACTGATTCCATAGCTTAGGTGTTGTGAACTATGCCACAAAAAAACATAGATAAACAGGTATCTCTACAGTGTGCTGACTTTAATTCTTTGGGGAAATATATCAAGCAGTGCTATAGTAGGATCTTATGGTTAGTCTAATTTTAGGCTATTGTTTGTTTGTTTGTTGAGACTGAGTCTCACTAAGTGGCCAAGTTGCCTAAGCTGGTCTCAAACTCCTGATCTTGCTGGCTCAGCCTCCCAGAGTGCTGAGATCACAAGCCTTCATCAGCATGCTTAGTTATTTTTAGTGTGTGTGTGTGTGTGTGTGTGTGTGTGTGTGTGTGTGTGTGTAGGGTGGGGCTACCAGGAATCAAACTCATGACTTCTCACTTGCCGGGCAGGCGCTGTTTCACTGAGCTATGTCCCAGGCTCTATTTTTAGTGTTTTGAGGAGCTTCCACACTGATTTCCGTACTGGTTATACTAATTTACATTCCCAAATTCTTCCCACCTCCTTCCCAGCATCTCCCAGTCATTTCTGACCTGAGAAGACAGTCGTGAAATTCATTGGTGGCCCAGACGTAGAAAGGAAAATAAAATAATGGCTTCTCCAGTGCCACAAGCACTATTTCCCTAGATGTGAAGATTGAAAAAAAAAAACCCAGAAGAATTGGAAGGACAGAGGAAAGATACACATTGGTGGAAGGGAAGAATGGATCCTGCAAGCCAGTGTCAAATGAAGAACTTGTGGAGAACCAGCCTGAGCAGTAGAAATCAGCCTTCAGGAATCTTCATCTCTACCTGAGCCCTGGGCCTCAAACCTCACAGGGGGTTTTTGTGTTTTCCAGTGTCCTTGCCTATAGGAATTAACTGGCCATCTCCCACATATCCTCAGCCCCTGGTACTGATCTTTCTGACCCGATGCCCTCTACCCTAGCGCTTAACTTCAGGGCCTGCATCAGGAGGAAGCTGGAGGGCCTCCAACAGGTACTTTCCCAACTTCCTTCCTCTCTACGCCAAAATATGTTCTATGCCGCCAGCCTCCCCGCCATCTCACAACAAGATTCCTCCTCCAAGAACCTGTGTGCTTTCCCTTTTGTCCCCAAGGAAAGGTGACACTTGCCCTTTCTAGGCTGAGAGCCCATCCCTGGCTCTGCTCTGGTCATCCTTCTCCCTGCTTGAAAATCTGCTTCACCTGTATCTGTTGTCTGTTGTCTCTTCCATCCTGAGAGGTCTCCTCCTCTGCTGAGCATGCTTCACTGTAAACCATCTTCCCTCTGGAAATGTCTGCTGTAGTCCTGCTGGTAAGGTCAAAGAATTAGGATACACTGAATTGTCAGTCAACAGAAGATTCAGTAAATAAATGTTACATCCATAACAATATATGTAGCACAGCTATTTAAAAAACCAGAAGACAGATCTGCATATTTGAAACAGTGAGATGTGGGAAAAAATAGAATGGCACACATTATATGATCCCAACTTTACCAAAGAACTCTGTACAATTATATGCTGGGACACACACAAGAAAAATCTTGAATAGCATACACCAAACTTTTAATAATGATTATCCCTGAGGAGTGGAGTTTGTGTATTGTACAAACTTAGGCAACTTGGCCACCTAGTGAGACTCAGTCTCAACAAACAAACAAATATCTTCTGTATTGTACATTTCTGTATTTGGATCTAATACTATAATGGGTGAGTATAATATTATAATCAGGAAATTATATATATATATATATATATATATATAATCCTTATATATATAATCCTACCTTTAATCCTACCAATTGCATCTTCTGTATGTTGCTTTCATTTTTACAAACATTCACCCACTGTTAAGTATATAAGATTCATCTGGATGAATAAAATAGCTCTTGGTCTCAAAAGTTTCACATTCTTCTAGAGAACAGGAGGTGGTCCCACCAAAATAAATCCAAAGCAGAAAGTGATAAGTGCAGCAGAGCCTTGAGTTAAGGTCCAGCTTTGCTGCTGAATTTGGGTAAATTACAGAACAACTGCAAGACCTGTTTCCTCTCTTGGAAATGAGACTAGAGTTACCAGCAAAGATGAACGTGGGGTGGGAATGGGTGAAGCCTTCAGTGGCTATTAGCACAAAGTGCACCATCCGATCTGTACCACAGGTCACTGAAGACACACAGGCACCGGGAGATGGAACTCAGGAAGCCCATGTCTCCAGATATGGCCTAGCAGACTGGGTAACAGTTAAGAAGGGCCGGACTCTCACGGCTGCATATCAAATGCTCATGGCCAGAGACCTGCACAAGATCCAGAAGACAAGCTCCCACTATTAGCATAGCCAGGGTCAAGCGAAGGCAGGAGGAGACGGATCCAACAGGCACAAGCACCTGGCAAGCCTTAGGGTATCTTAAGAACCGAGGATATTCCCCTGATAGAACAGGACTGGGATCCAGGTGGGAAAGCTGGGAAAAGACTGGACCTATTTGTGGAGAAATCCAGCTGCCAGCACATGGATTACACAGTGGGTGGTGGTTTGAGTGAATGGCTAAGAGCACAAACTCTGGAGCCAGCATGGTCTGATGTTTTCAATCTCTTTTTGTTTCTATTTCTTCCTATGAGAAGTGAAAATAACTCCAGAGCCATATCATAGGATTCCTCAGAGAGGGAAAAACATTAATAAATGTCTGGGTCATAGTAAGTGATACATAAGGTTCAACTGTGGTTATTTATGAAACCCTTCCTTTCTTCTCCTCACACCCACCCTCCTTCTCTTTGCCTCTCTTCCAAAACGTGTACTGAGATTCCATTCTACAGTCGCAGTGTAGAGTGGAATGGACTAAAATGATAGCTCTCATCTTGAGGACTACTCTCTGGGTGTTTTGTAGAATGTCTCTCCATTTGTGTTTATCTAATGTTTTCTGTATCCTTAGACCGAGGTTGTGGCTTTTTGAGGAGGAAAATCCACAGAGGTAAAGAGCCATGTTCATGTATCATATCTGAGGAACCCATTGTCAGGGTGACTTGTTACTGCTGATCACCTGGCTGACCTATTTGCTCCCAGGATTCTCCACTGTGAATCCTGGTAACTACTTTCCATGTTGTACTCCTTGAAAGAAAGGCTACTAGGTTTAGCCTTACATCAGAGATGGGTTGTGCTTGCTTCGGTAGCACATACAATAAAGTTGGGTGGATACAGAGAAGATAATTATGTGTCCAGCACAAGCATAACATGAAAATTCATGAAACATTTCATATTGAGAGAGAGAGAGAGAGAGAGAGAGAGAGAGAGAGAAAGAGAAAGAGAGAGGCAGTTATAAGGGGAAAATGTCTACATGAATTATTTGGACTTCTTTGCTGTTTTATCTCTTCTTCTCCATTTATGATTTCAGTCATTTATTTATATCAGTATGAACTCATGTATATTTAATTCATACTTTGAGTTATAAAACAGTACCACTTTATTTTTTCCAGCTCTGGCCATTAGGAGCTCACTCAGATTGACACTTTGGTTCCTTTATCTTGACCCTATCCTTTTGTATTTTGAACACTTCCTTCTTGAAAGAAAGATGTTCCAGATCAAAAGAAGATGCTGCAGATTTATCTTGTGTATTTCCTGCCATTTCTATACAATCAGCCCTTTCTCTAAGGAGCACTAGTTTCTTTTCTCAGAGAAAGATATTAGAAACCAAATCTAAGCACTAGGATTGCCTACTACTACTAGGCAATTGCTTTTAGATCCTCTTGATGGGCAGAACTAGACACAGCAATATGAATACTAGCGGGTATAAACACCCTGGTCTATAATTACTTGTGTATTTACTCAGTATCTATAGTAATCCCTATATGACTTCATATTGATGTTTCCAATGCTGATTAGTACCACTTGGTTCAATCCAGCTTTCCCTCTTGTATAAACTCAAACTTTGACAATGCCCAACCCCATTTCAACTCATCTACTCTGATCCTTACTAAGGAAGCCTAGTGCTCAAGACTTCGAGAGCTGTAGAAGCACTTTCATATGGCTGTAGACACAATACAGTCATGCAGGATGGCCTTGTTTCATCAAGGACCCACTCAACTGCAGTCCTTCAGTCTATGATGCCATATTCTGGTCCCCCTACCCAAACCACCCTGGGTCTGGTGTGCAATCTTAGAGCAAATTTTCACTCCCTGTCTGAGGCATTTTCGCTTGTGAGACTCTGGGGCTTGGAGAAGACCAGAGCTTTCTCTAATGCCACACCATGGTGGTAGGGAATTTTTCAGACATTGCTTTTTCCCAGCATTCCAAGCAGGCTGTGAACTACATTGCCTCTATGCCTGATTCTCAAAATGTATCTTTAGGTTCTAAGTTTCCTCTACCTCTGAACTTTCCACAGGCCCATCTTTTCTCAGAGCACTTCTTTCTCTACTGCCCTTCACTCACCCACTCATCTGCTCCAGGCCTGGTCAAATATATCCTGACTGCATCTGGGGAATGATAAGAATACTGTTGTGTATGTTGCTTTCATGTCACTTTCTTTCTTTCTTTCTTTCTTTCTTTCTTTCTTTCTTTCTTTCTTTCTTTCCTTCTTTCTTTCTTTCTTTCTTTTTTTCTTTTTCTTTCTTTCTTCCTTTCTTTTCTTTTTCTTTCTTTCTTCCTTTCTCTTTCTTTCTTTCTTTCTTTCTTTTCTTTCTTCTTTTCTTTTTCTTTCTTCTGCCTGCCTGCCTGCCTACCTACCTGCCCTCCTTCTTTCTTCCTTTGTTCAGTGAATGAAATCCAAGTACTTTCCCAAGCTAGGGCTTTCTCACAGAATTATACAAAACCAGATCACAGCATGGGATACCTACACCTTTTGGTGAATTCTGCCGAGCCATCCCTTCCCTGAACAGTAACCTCACAATTTACCTCCCAACTTGGGAAGATTAGGGAAGAGGTGGCGTCTTGAGTTGGGAACTCCCACGAGTAAGTGCCTGTCATGGTTTGTTTGTGGCCCCCAGGCCTCATGCATTAGCATTGTGCATTTGTGATTGGTTCATTGTCTAGTGCTTGGATTGATGGTGTCAGTGCTATACCAACATAGGGGTGGAGCCAGCATACAATGTAATGGAAGAAAGAAGGTGTGTCACATTCTTTTGCTCACTTCCACCTTGCTGTTTGCAGCCTCTATGAACTGCGGCCCTGCCATGCCACCCTGCCTTGGAGTCAACTGAATATGGACCGAAATCTCCAAAAACTATAAGAAATAAACCTTTCCTTTCCCAACTTTGGGCATCAGGTATTTTGTCTCAGTGATGAATAAAGAGTAACTAAGACAGAATTTGGTACCAAGGAGTGGGGTCAATTGCTATAACTATACTTGACCACGTTTTTCGAGAGGCTTTGGAAATGGGTTGTAGGCAGAGTTTGGAAAGGTTCGGGCATGTTGCCTGGATGCATAGAGCTGGAGCACTTTAGGCTGTTATGTAAAGGAAATTCTGTTCAGAGCTCAGGAGACCAGAAGGCTGCTAGGAAGCTTCATGGTAAATAGCAGGCTTGGGAGGTTTCTGCTGAGAAGAAGGACTGCATTGGTTGTTGGATTCTCCATGATGTGTGTTATGGCTTGGCAGAAAGTTTGTCTGCATTGTGTTCATGCCCAGAGACTTTGTCTGAGACTGAGACTGAGGGCAATGGACTGATTAATCTGGCAAAGGAAATTTCAAGGCAGTCAAATGTTGAGGCTGTGGCATAGCTATTGTTGGGGGATTTTAGCCAGCTTTCTGTTGCAAATCAAGAGCAAAGAGTCCAGAAGGATAATTTACAATGCTGAGAGTTTGGCCAGGAGGAAAACTCTAGTAAAGCTATGGATTGTAAATAAAAGAGTTGAGACTTCGATTGCTGAGGAGAAACAGAGAGATAAGAAAGATGGCCACAGGGCATCCCAGGAAGCAGTGGGTCTCCATCCTTTGCAGGCTCAAAACTGTATAAGTGAAAGAATTTGCTCAGAGAGGAAAACTGCAGAGCACTATGCTCCAGAATGGCGACAGAGACCACATGAGGTTCCAGAATGGCAGTAACATAGACAGCTTTTCCTCACAATCAGGTTTACAGAGCTCAGTGATCCAGGAGATCAACCCCTATAGCCAAGAGGGAAAAAAGTCTAGCTGCTGCTCCAGATGGCAGCAAATCTTGACGGCATCCACATGGTGCTGATTTTAGGTCCAAGGAAAATGCACAAATTCTGAGGGTAAGACGGCTTCCACCTCAATTGCAAAGAGCCTGGGTGGCCAAGCAGTGTGCCCTTGAGAGGGCAATTTGTAAAGATGTAAGTGTGAAGCCAAAGGTGCAGTGGAGACCCCAGAAGTTTGGAAAAGCTAGAAATGTGGATGATTCAAGGAAAACTGCAGAGCAGAGAGTATTTAAGAGAAAAGCTGTGGGAGCTGAAATCCCTGGAAGTGCCATGGGGGTGGAATCACCCACACCTTTTGGAGCTTGCAACCAGATTGCTTCAGATGCTGAGCATGGAACTCTAGGACTTAATGTTCGTCCTGCTGGATGTTGGACTTGCTTTGTTTCCAATGCTTATATTCCTCTGTTTGTAACTTTTGGAATGGTAATGTTTATCTTGTACCTTTGCATTTCAGAAATGTTTAACCTTGTTTCATTTGTACAGGGGATTACAGTTAAGAGTTTGCCATAGATCTGGAGGAGACTTGGGACTTGGACTTTTCAGCAATCCTGAAACTGTTAGGACTTTGGCAACTCTTGGAGATGGACTAAATGTTTTTTGTGTAAAGGATGTGCATGAATTCTGGGGGTCAGAGTTGCAATGTCATAGTTTATGTCAGTGGCCCCCAGGCCTCTTGCATTTGGATTGTGCATTTGTGACTGGTTCATTGTCTAGTGCTTGGATTGATGGTGTCAGTGCTATAGTCACATAGGAGAGGAGCCAGCGTACTGTGTAATGGCAGGAAGACAGTGTCTGTCTTTTGTGGTTTCTGCCTTTCTGTTTGCAGCCACCATGTAGCCCTGCTATGCCACCCTGCCTTGGAGCCAACTGAATATGGACTGAAACCTCCAAAAACTGTAAGAAATAAATCTTTCTTTTCCCAACTTTGGGCTTCAGGTATTTTGTCTCAGCAATGAGTAAAGAGTAACTAAGACAGTGCCTTAAAGTGCTTTTCAGTGTCACTAATCTCTTTTGGTCCAGGAACACTTGTCCACACTGCAGTTTACTTTGGTGGACCTGAAAAAGGAGAAGTGAATGTCAGCATATATACAACCTACCACTTAAGAGATAGACCTGATGGCTCTGATGAGAATTTAACAATAGAACACAAAGTAAGAACACAAGGCTCTGCTTGAAGGAGACAAAAAATTCATCGGTATAGAATTGGGCCTGGTAATGTAGACCTGCAATCCCAGTACCCTGGGAGGCTGAGGCAGTAAAGTCAGGAGTTTGATCCCAACCCAGGTAACTTAGCTACTTATAAAGATCCTGTCTCAAACTAAAAAATAAAAAAGGACAAGTGCTGGCAAGGATGTGGGGGAAAAGGAACTGTCGCATGCTGATGGTGAGAATGTAAATCAGCACTCCTATTATGGAAAACAATATGGATGCTCCTTAAAAATTAAAACTAGTCCTATAATATAATTCAGCAATGCCATTTCTGGGTGTATATCTAAAGGAAATAAAATCGCAATGTCAAAGAAACACCTGCGCCCCCAGGAATATTGTAGCACTATTCAGAACAGTCAAGAAATGGAATCAGTCTACATGTTTACTGGCTGATGAGTGGATAAATAAAATGTTACACGTACACAATAGAATACTTAGTACGCATTCACAAAAGGAATGAAACTCTGTTATTGGAAACAACATGGGTGGAACTTAAGACCATTATGTTATGTGAAATAAACCAGGCTGAGGAAGACAAGTGCTGCATGATCTTACCCATACATGGGATCTAAAAATCTTGATCTCAAACAAGTTGTGAGCAGAATGGTGGCTACCAGAGGCTGAGAAGAGTAAAGAAGAGAGAGATGAGGAAAGATTCATCAGTGAGCACTAAGCTACAACTCCATAGGGTAAGCAGCTCTGGTGTGTTGCTGCACGATAGAGCAGATACAGTTAACAAGTACACACTGTGTATTTCAAAAAGCTTCAAGAAAGGATTTTAAAATGTTTCTGCCATACAGAAATGATAACTGTTTGAGGAAATATGTTTAACTGATATAAATATTATATAATGTATAGATACATTGAAACAACACATGCTATTCCACTAATAGGCACAATTTTT